GGGAGCTGAACGTAGGGATTTCATGTTTTTCGTTTAGGGTTTAGGGTTTAGGGTTTAGGGTTTAGGGTTTCGGTAGGGGTTTAGGGTTTAGGGTTTAGGGTTTAGGGTTCAGGGTTTAGGGTTTGAGATGGGGCTCTCCAAACGGAAGATCAGCTTAGATCTGACACGGCCAAAATTTTCAAGCCCAGAGCTCTTAATATAGGGGCTTTACTTTGACACAATTCCCGACGTTGATATCACTAGACCCTAACAACAAAAATCCACCTAAACCCTAAGACCAACCCTGAAAACCCGAAACCCTAAACCCTAGACCCTAAACCCCAAACCCGAAACGAAACCCCTAAGCCGTTTACGCACCCCACTTAGTCCCCGATCCTTCAAAAGAAGGCACTCGGCCCCCCAGCAGCGCCTCTCCGCACGCCGCTGTCCCTCGCGCACGCGGCCGAGCATTGTAGCGGACAGGGCAGCTTCGAGTTTAGGGTTCAGGTTGTAGGGTTTAGGGTTTTGGGTTTAGGGTTGAGGGTTTAGGGCTCAGGGTGTAGGGTTTTGTGTTGTTTTGTGGGTCCAGGATCCGTTTTTGCTTTGTGTTGGAGTTTAGGTTTCAGGTGTTTATGCTTGCGGAATCCGTCACCTGAAGCAACTTGATGGGCACTTGGGATACCCCAAGACCCTCGAAGCGGTTCTTTCCAGGTTCCTGTGAAATGCGCCTGAAGCATCAACTCACGGCAAAATTAAAACGTGATTCTTACTGTAGGGGCCTCAGTACTTAGAATAGGGTTTTGGGGTATATTATGGTATAATTACAGTAAGGAACCCAGGCCCCTATGTTACTCTGATGGAAATCAAGAACATTGCTGAAAAGAGGTGTAGCAGTGCAGCTGATTCTTTCGGTTTTAAACGGCGGACTCCCTCGGTTTTAAACAGCATAAGGTTTGCGGCTAAAGGTTTCGCACCTCAGCAGCTAGTTTGGAGAATCTTGTCGATTCTGCACAGCCCGCACCATGTTCCGTCAATCCTGCAAAGCCTAAAGTTCTGACATTTCAAGAGCAACCTCTTCGGCACCGAACCCTCCCGCACGAATCTTTAAGGACCCTGCAGCATCTCACCCTAAACCCTAAACCCTCAATCCGAGCCTTAAAGCTCAAGGAATACTCCGCTGTTACATGGTCTTGTGCTCTCTGGGATAAATAGGGGTCATAAGGAGGATGCTGACTAAGTCCGCTAAACCCTAAGCCCTGAACCCTACACCCTACGCCCTAAACAGTAAACCCTACGCCCTAAACCCCCGACCCTAAACCCCAAACCCCCGACCCTAAACCCTAAGCCCAAAGCCCTGCAGTTGCCTAGGGAGTCGCTGGTGCCCGAAAGCGACGCTCTAGACCCAGCTGGGCCTTTGGTTTCGCAGCTTTGGGGTTTGGGGTTTATAGGGTTCAGTATTTAGGGTTGAGGGTTAACCCTAAACCCTAAACCCTAAATCCTAAACCCTAAACCCTGGGTTTAAGTTGGTTAAGTCTGGTGGCCTTTGGGATTCTTTGTTGTGAGCTGGGGGATTTGGAGGTTCAGTGATCCTTTGGTTGCAGGTCTGTGTTTCTTGCAGCTTTGAAGGGGGCGAGTAGCAGGGTCTGACCTCCTGCGAACATAATGCATATACTCTAACGTACCCAAAACTCCATTCTAATTTAGGATTTGGGCTCTTTGGGATTTCGGTGTGTTGAGTTTTTTGTTGGAAGGCACCCTAAACCCTAAAGCCTAAACCCTAAACCCTAAACCGTGGTTCGGAGGTCAGGTGGTTCAGGGTCTTTTTTTTGGGAAAGGGTTTCAGGCTCCAGGATTTGGCTGTAGGACTTCCTGGGCCGAAAGAACCTAAGCTGTAGGTATCTTACTTAAAGGATCATGGGACTTAGTAAGTAGGGTTTAGGGTTTAGGGTTTAGGGTTTAGGATCATGGGACT